TAGTCGGGACTTGGTTCCTCGACTAACTCTGTGTATGTTTGACCCCCTGTAGGATTTGGGGTAAGGTCAGGCCAACCTTGGGAATTGTGTGCCAGTTCTCTTGCGGGGAATGATTTGTTGGGATGCCCCCGGGTATCCTCCGTTGCTGGAGTGCTGTGTGATGTGTGTGGAAAGTGAGTATGCCCCCGGGGTGACTCCCTGGCTGGAGTAGGCGTGAGTGCCTGTTGTGTGGGTAAGCTCCATGACTTTCTTTTCGGAGCAATTGCAGAACCTTGGGACGAGCCGTTTGTGGCTCCCTCAGTGGAGATGGGCAGTAGCTCTTGCCCTTCCCTTTGCTCCAAAGGGTCCCCCTCCCCCCCTGGAAAAGACCCAGGAGTCTCAGCAGAAAAGTCTCGCCTAGAGCGAAGTTGGTCGATGTGCCGACGCAGGACACGACCGTTGTCCAGGGCAACCTCGTAGGAGAGAGGACCTGTGATCCTGGACACAGAAGCGGGGACCCATGTATGACCAGGCCCGTAATTGCGAGCCCAAACCGGGGCACCCACAAGTAGTTGTCTAGGTGCCCTAGGATGTGAGGTAGATGAAGGCAGTCTGTCCGGATGCAACCGGTCAAGTCTAGTAGTAAGTTGGCGCCCCCAACGAAGTTCAGCTGGACTTCTCCCTGTAGAAGTGGACGGTGTGGTGCGATAAGAAAGGAGAAAGTCAGCCAACCTGTGATGCCAGTCCCCGTAGGTGAGTCTCTTCAAGGCGTCCTTTGCGATGCGCACCATGCGTTCAGCCATACCGTTGGTGGACGGGTGAAAAGGCGCAGACGTGGCATGACGAATCAGGTTTGCCTGTAAGAAAGCTTGGAATTCGGAGGAGGTGAATTGAGGGCCGTTGTCGGACACAATGACATCTGGCAGCCCGTGTGCAGCAAAAATCCCCCTCAGTACCTGAATAGTCTTTGCAGTGGTGGTGGATGAGACAGGCACAACCTCAAGCCATTTTGAATGGCTGTCAACAAGGACCAAGAAGAACTGGCCCTGAAAGGGCCCAGCGTAGTCAATGTGCACCCTAGACCATGGGGACTGTGTTTCCTCCCATCTATGCACAGGAGCTTGGGGCATCTCTGGGCGAGATCGTTGGCACAGGTGGCATGCGTGTACCTTAGCCTCAATATCTTTATCTAAAGCAGGCCACCACAAGTGGCTGCGTGCAAGAGCCTTCATACGAACAATGCCAGGATGACCCTCGTGGAGGGATTCTAAGACCCTAGTCCTCATTGAGGTGGGAATGACAACTCTGTTTCCCCAAAGCAGACAACCCTGAGAAAGGGACAGCTCGTTCCTTTTGGACCAGAAACTCTGAAACTCAGGACTAGGGCAGTGCTCAGGCCAACCGGACAAAACCCAGGAACGGACACGTGAAAGTGTGTGATCTGTACCTGTTTCAGCGGTAACATCCCTGGCACTAAGAGGGAGCTCGGGCAAGGCTTGGATTGATAGAATGTTGACAGCTGGCGCGGGGTCAGCTTCTACTACTGGCAGAGGCAATCTACTGAGGCCATCAGCATGGCCCATTTCTTTCCCAGGCTTGTGGAGTAATGAAAAATCATAGCAAGGCCTTGACTTCTTTAAAGCAAGCCTCATGTGCTTGTGACCACAGCCACACAGCTGTTTGTCTAGTAGCCTGTGAAGAGGCTCAGCTACACTAGCTTTATGTGGAAGAAAAGAATTGTAGAAATTCAGGAGGCCTAGGAAGGCCTGAAGTTCGGCCTTAGACTTTGGCCTGGGTGCATCTAAAATAGCAGTTAGTTTGGATTCAGCAGGATGAATCCCAGCAGCATCAATTTTGAATCCCAGAAATTCAGTAGAAGGCACCCCAATCTGGCATTTGTCTTTTCTGAGCTTGAGGCCTGATTTCCTGAATCTTAACAGGACAGCCCTAAGCCTTTCAGCTAGAATGTGTGTGGAGTCTCCTGCAATCAAGACATCGTCAAAGTAGGGGCAGACCCCTGGTATACCTCGTAGTGTGTTTTCCATAACGCTTTGGAAAATCCCAGGAGCGACATTCACTCCAAACTGTAGCCTTTTTACTTTAAAGGCTCCCCTGTGGGTCACAATGGTCTGAGCTATGGCAGCATCATCATCAACAGGCAGCTGTTGATATGCTTGAGCTAGGTCAAGCTTTGCAAAAACACGCCCCCCCTTGAGAGAGGCCAGGATGTGACTGACCACAGGAACAGGATAGGCATGTTGCTGCAATGCCTTATTGAGTGTGCATTTGTAATCAGCACAAATGCGAATGTCCCCATTTGCCTTTAGAGGCGTGACAATGGGGGTCTCCCACGGGCTGGAATCAACAGGTTCTAGGATTCCCTGTTGGATTAGTTTGTCTAGTTCAGTGTCAATCTTACTTTTTAAAGCAAAAGGGACCCTTCTTGCTTTAATCCTAATGGGAGTGACAGTGGGGTCTAGCTTTAAGGACACAGGTGGTCCTTTGAATGTGCCCAGCTGGGGGCTGAAAACATCTGCAAATTCTTTGCAGACTTCCTGTAGGTCGAGTGTTTGTAAGCTGTTGAGTCCTGTGACGTGTATCCCCAGGGCCTCAAACCAATCGAGTCCTATGAGACTCGTTCGTTCACCCCCTACTACTAATAAGTCTAGTGGACCTTCAAAACTCTTGTATTGCACGTTAAGGGTGGCCTCCCCCTTAACACACACTCTTGAGTTCTGAAAATCTGTTAATACAATATCAGAAGGCCTTAACTTGGCCTTAGACCCACTTCTGGAACAAATCTTCCTAAATGTATGCAATGAAATGATGGACAGGGCAGACCCTGTGTCTAGTTCCATAGATAATGGAACCCCTTGTAGCTTCACGTTGAGTGACAGCTTTTTCTTCATGGGCTTGTGTGTGCCTGTTCTACAGATGCTTCTTCGCGAAGCGCAAAAACCTACCCTATTCTGGCTGGGGAATCTGGTACCCTTCAGGCGTTCTTCTTGGGGTTGTGCCTTTCGTCGGCCCAGGCACACAGCTGCAATATGCCCTTGTTTACCGCATGCCCGGCAGGTAGCGGAGCGGAACTTGCAGTCGGTTCTCCTGTGGCGACCTCCACAGCCGATGCACTTGAGCGGAGCCGAAGAGCTTCCCTTCTGGTTCTCTTCCCTCGCGGGGTGTAGACGGTCAACTTCCTCGTCCGGATCCTCCTCGGAGTTTCGTCGGACGTCTTCCTGGTGCACGGACGCACCCTCTGCACTGTTTCTGATCGGCCGCATGTTTTTGACGGCGCCGCCTGCTGCTTCTTCTGCGGTGACTTCCCTTAAGGCGTCTTGGAAGGATAATTCTTCCTTTGCGAAAAGTCTCTGTTGTAGCTCGCGATGCCTTAACCCGCACACGAATCGGTCCCTCAGTCGTTCCTCGAGGTCCTTGAACTCGCAGGGCTTGGCGGCCTTCCGTAACGCGGCGATGTATTCCTTGGCTGACTCACCGGACCGTTGATCTCTTTGTTCGAAGGTGTGGCGCCATGAGATAACGGACACCCTGGGGTTGAAGTGCTCCTTCAGCAGCTTCTTCAGGTCTGCGTAGCTTACAGACTCTACTGGGACAGGTGCTGCAAGGTTTTCTGCGATTTCGAAGGCGTCTTGGCCACAAACGCAAAGCAGGGTGGCCGCCTTCAAGCTATCTTCCCTCACTTGGTTTGCCTTGAAGTAGTTCTCCATTCTGGATACGTAGGACTCCCACCGCTCTGGATGTGAGACTTCGAATTCCGAAAGCCTTCCGATTTTCGCCATCTTCGGATCTTCAGGAGACGGGTCTATCAGCCAGCCTACCCCCGAATGCGCACCGGATTGGCGGGCAGCTGCCGAGTCGACGCCGTTCCTCTTTCGCCGCTCAGGACTCCTTGGGTAAGCTTACACTTCTTCCTTTCCAGGTAGTGCAAGGCATCCCATCCTCGTCGCCAGTGTTGAGTCCGTGGCGGGAAAACAGACACGAGAAGCAGCTGGAGTTCTCAGTTTCATTTATTCAGCGTTCAGCTTACATGAAGATGGCTTCTGCCTCGCCCAAACGCCTCGCAGCCTCTTATATAGGCAACTCCCGGGTAAATGGGTTACTTTTCCCGCGCCAGCACCCGCGCATGCGCACGGCGCTGGCGACAGCCTGTCTGGTCCCGGGCAGCTTTGCACCTGCCCGGGACTGCCTGCAAACGCCCGAGCCGTTTGCAAAGGCTCGGGACATAACACCCCCACTCCACCTCCCTGCCCTGTCCCTGCTCCGCCCCCCATCCCCCTCTTCACCTGCCCATAGGACCACTCATCGCCTCCAGGGCCTGCCGCAGATTGCCCAGGCAGCCCAGCAGCGCTATGGCGGCCACACCCTCTGCCCACATCTGCAGCATCAACTGCAAGATGGGGTGTAATGGCAGAGTCTTGCTACGCTGCCTGGCTGCCATGTCCTTGGCTGCGCTGCTCCATGTGGGCCATGATTGGGGGCAACTCTCCTTCAGGGGGGCTGCTGGAGAAGAGGGGGTCGTGGGGGGAGGCAAGGCTGGGAGCAATGGCACGTGTGCCCACAGAGAGGGCTCCGAGTGCCGCCTCTGGCACCCGTGCCATAGGTTCGCCACCACTGGTATATAATATTTCAGCAGCATGAGAGGAATGGTGACTTCACAAAACTTCTTTATGCTTATGGAATGACGTTTTGCCTTTGGAAAGAACTTCATTCAATCATTTTTGCTGGGTTATGTTAACAGGTCAAAATAGCAGTGTACCAGGAAATTCCTAATAAACTCTGTCAAAGGTGATAAATCATATAATCTAATTTTGAGAAGGTGAAACATTTAGAATCAATTACATTAAACCTACACCTGATGGGGCACTTACAGATGAAGATTGACAGTAATAAGTTAACAAAGTAATAATTAATAAAGGAGATGGCTCCCCCCCCACCCACCTGATCTTTATGCATGGATATATGCATATTCAGATAATCCATAGCTGTGCATAAGAATCCCAGAACTGAAAACAATAATTTATTTTTAATAGAGCCCATTTATTTTCAGAATATTTTTAAACATTACAGAAAGTTTAACATTCCTAGAGCAGTTTTAAATTTATATCGAAAAAAAATAAGGTATCTAAAATCTAAAATATTTCTCATTCATTTCACAAAAAAACCCCACTGTCTTAAATCTTATAAATCAGAACCACAGATACAAAAAATAAACTTCATACTTCTGTGTCTATGACTGAATGCCTGCAGTCATTCTAAGAAAGGTTTTCTCAGTATAGTATTATTGTTCACAAGACCCTTGTTTTGTACCAGAATATTCCAGTCTATTCATAGATTGATTTATTTAATAATCTCTTGCATTTGAGAAATAAAATAAAATGGTATTTTAGATTTAGATTTTTTTCCACATTATTGTTGGCAAAGCAGAGAAGATTCAGGGAGTTCCCCATTGTAGAATCATACGAGACGAAAGAGGCTGTTCCAGCATTAAGTTCAATTCCCTGTACAGTGCAGAAAGCTGGTGTAAAGTATCCACTATCTGAATTCATCCAATAAAGGATAGACCATTGTCTCCCTAGATAATGGTCGACCTGTCAAACTGTTTTTGCTGTAAGAAACTTTTTCTATGGTTTTTCTCTTGAAACAAATCTCAAACTAGTTCAGTTTTAAGAAAAAAAAATTAGAATAATAAAATTGTCTTAAGATACCATGAGTCTCCCCGAAATATGTTTTTATAAAAAAGAATTTGCCCTCTTTTGGATTTCTAGATTTTTTTCATATCTTTACAGACAGAATGTGACCAAAATGTTATATGTATCCTGCTGATGTTTAAAAGAAGCCAGAAAAAATAACTGCAATATTTAGTGCTTGTTTTATTCATTTTATGGTTATGTCAGCACAGAATGTGCCAATGTGAAAATTTAACCACTTCACTCATTCAATCAATTCAATTAAAGAGATAATTAGAACAAGTAATTTCATTTAACAAACAATATAAATCTTAAAAATATTAGCTTCTGTTTCTTACATATTAATTTAAATTATTAAATTAAAATGAAAAGGAAAGAATAAATGAAATGAATAATGAACAAAATGAATAATAAACTATTAATGATTACATTATCAATCAAGCTCATGTAAACTTTGATTAATAAAAGAATGTGATAAAAATGAATTTCCATGTTCAAAAGCCTCTCTTGATACTACAAAATAATGGTCTTTTCTGAATCACTCATTCAAACTTTACACTTTAAACCTGGATTCAAAACACTAGACTTTATTCTAGGCAGAGTCTTGCTAAATAGGCACCATGCTCATTCATTTGTGGCTCACTCTTTTCTGCCTGGTGTTTTCCTTTACTGAAAAAAGCAGGTGTTCTTTTTTCTATTAGACAGAATTCCAGGCCATTTATCCATCTGAATAATGAGCTGAAACCCAAGTGGGTCATGCACCACTGCAGCAATCCCAAATGCACAAGGGAGCCTACAACAGAATGAAGAAGAAAGTATTCAGTATTTTGGCCACATCAAAGGGCAGACCTGTTAGAAGAGAACCACAATGAAAATATTGTTCATGGAATAGAGTTCATGCTAGTAAAAGCTCAGAAATGACAAAGTTGAGCCATTTTGCCATGGCAAGCTAGCCCATAATTCTTTCATGTAGTGTCTGAAATGAACTTTACCAATTATTGGAAGTGCTACAGTTATCATACTTAAAAGTGGCACAAAGAAGTACTGAATTTAAGAGGGCAATTGTTTTCCTACATTGGCATGCTGCATATTTAATTTTTGTTTATTTATGAAATAAATGAAACTAACAACTAACAACTTATATGTTTACTTAGAGTGCCTTTGTAACTTGGCAGGACCCATGGGAAACTCTGATATTCTCTGAAAAATATACGCAAAAATTAAAAAGGAAGCAAGCATTTTTTTCTCAGAATTTTACATTATGGACTTTAATATATGTAATATTCACATTCCAAAATCTAATGAATAATTCAGTGGACATAATACAGTTCGTGCAAAATCATTGTAATATGAATGGCCTTTATAATCATATGTGTTTCTGATACTTCTGATTTTTCTTTAGATTTATTATCATCTTTAATTTTTATTATACATGTAAGCTAACTCAAAATAATATTTTTATTTTAGATGACCCTGCAGAAATCACTGTGACCTTCAGTTATATCTCTTGTAATGAGTCATAAATTGTAACAACATTTTTGTAGTAAGAGGAAATAAACTTGAGTGTGCAAGGTAGATAGGTAGATTAAATCATAATGCAAAAGAGGATAAAAATCCAAATTATTAATATTAGCATTCCCTCACTGACTGAGGTTCTCAAATGAGAAAGCAGGTTAAATATTGCTTCATAAATAGATCAATTGATTGATGTGCAAATAGGCTCGGATCTCTGCATGTGTACAAAATAATGAATTTTGTATAATTCAAAAACAAATAGTTGGTCTTAGCGACAGTTTTTAAAAATTGTTTTTTCCCAACTTTCAACAAAGTACTGTGTTATTACCAGTTTTATAATCTTTGGTCAATTTCAATACCTCCAAGAATATAATTTCTGGGATGTTTTCCCTAAGTCAGTGATTTCATTGTGTTGTTAGAACTTCATCAAAGTTGCCCTTGCTTCCCCCAGGAATTACATGTCTTTGTTTACCTGACTTCCAGCCCTGTCCTGTTTCTCCTTCAAGCTCCTCCGCTGCAAAATAAGTTTTGGGGGGAAGGTCAATCAATCAATTCCAACTTCTCACAACAAAAATTGACTTCTTTTGTTTCCCTGCACGTGGCAGTGGAGGAGCTTGAAGGAGAAACAGGACAGGGCTGGAAGTCAGATAAGCAAAGACATGTAATTCCTGGGGGAAGCAAGGGCATCTTGGCAGTGGTATGGCAAGCTCTCCAGCTCTGCAGCGGCAGTGAACTGCAATGGAGCTGCAAAGCATGTGGCAAGATGCTGAAATGGGCCCATCTCTGACCTGCAGCTACCCAGGCCCACCAGAGGGAAGGCCAACATCAGCACTTACAGTAAACACGGCAGCATTCTGGCTCTGATGGGGAAGAGGCAGCCGGCATGGACGCTGAAGGCAGGACACCCACTCGCTTCAGCACCCTCCCTTCACGAGCCTCTGTCGCTCCACCTGCCGCATTGGTCCTGGGCTGCCACCTCCCCACTCACCTCTCAGACGGGCCAGGCCAGGAAGGTGGCCTCCCCAGATCCCAGGCCCCCTGTTTTGGCCGGAGGAGTATTGGCCTGGCTACCTCCAACTTGGTGCCCTTCCTGCCGCTGCCCAGCATGGCTACCCTGGGGCTGCAGGGGCTGGCCTGGCACAGGAAGGGCATGTACACCGCCATGACCGACTGCCCCATCCACCTGCAGCAGTACTTGGTTCACCACCACACTCTCACCGCTGCATTGTGTCTCCACCCCAAGCATAGACCCTGCCCCTCCCCCACGCACTCACGGCCTGTTGGTACCAGTAAAAGTAAGCCCTACCCGAAAGTAAGTCCTAGTGCTTATTTTAGAGCCCAAAAGAAAGTAAGACCGGGTCTTACTTTTAGGGAAACATGGTATGCATAATATTAATGAATTTTGGTTATGTCATCTTCTTCTTGACTCTTATTAGCTCTTAGAATGTAAAGCTCTTAATATCTTAAAGTATAAAATTAAATACTCATAATACAAAAACACTGAAAATATTATAATATTTCACTCTGGTGTTCCAGAATCAATTGTTGGGGAGCATGAAGACAGGGAAATTACCATAGATGAGAAGGAGATTTATTATTTTTATATGAGTTTTAATAGACTTTCTATTCTGATTGTTTAGGAGGATTGTGGTTGTTACTGTTTTGTGAATTACACGTGGTGATTGTCTGATTTCAAATATTTGATGCATAGGAAATAAGATAAGCAGAAGGTTTTCCCCCAATTTTCTTATATTAAATGATTTCTTAATCTGAAATACTACATTTTTAAGCATATGGTAGCTATTTCTTATTCAGAAATATTCCCAAAATAAAATTTGATCAGAAATGCATCACAATATTTTTAATTTTTGAAATGTTGACACACTAGATTTCTACATGAATCTTCAAGAAGGAAAATATCATGGCTACTGGTCTCATGTTAATAAGGCAAGCCTAGAGATTAAACACATCAGGAAAATAGGATGTAATTCTACTTCTCATAATGCATAGTCCCAAAACAGGAAACAACTGTCCTAGAAATATTGCTAAGAATTTGTTGTTTAAGCAAAAGTACACATTATATGTGGACTTAACATTCAAATAAGAAATAGCCATATTTTATTTGCAAGAATTATTCCAACCTACGGTGTAAGAGGAATGAAGCTGTTCCTCTAAAAAATACACAATTTGTTTAAGAGAACTCACACAAAATGTTCACTGCTGTATAGTGTATAAGTCACTACACTTAGGAAAATCGTGACTTTTCTTTTGGCACCATAGTTGTTTAATTATTATATAAACAACCTGGTCTTGTTTTTGGAAAGGTTACTATATCATCCTCCACAGCTAGCATGTAAATACATCACAGCACTTACGATAATGAAGTGATTATATTGTCATGGACTCTGGTGGATTTGAAGTGAGGTTTGTTGTTCTACAAAGCAGAACATTTAGAAATAAATTATAATAAGAACTGAATAATCATTTTTTTGTGAAGCATCCCATATCTGGAAGTTAAACTCAGAGGGTTCAAATACTTGGGAATAGTCTTTCATGCCCTGGTAGCCAGAGGGCACACTTAGACTCTGTATTTCATAGTTAGATCTGTCCATACAAGCCTTTTATTGATTTAGAGACACTCTATATGCACCAGCAGTGCTTGCATTATTTATAGTCAAAGCTTACATGCAGCTGCTTTATGGAGCTCAAATACATTCCATAATAATCATGCAGCTTTTGAGCTTCTGCAATCATAGTTTCTGAGGAACACATTCCAAATACTTCAGTCTGTCCCAGATATGTTTTTGTATAGAATAATTGGTGTAATCAACATAAAAACTGCAACATGAGTAAACTTTTTAAATTATTGGTTAAAATTATTCTTTTTCCATACTGGTTTGGTTTTCTTAATTTTAACAGATATTTTTGTTACTAAGAGAAATGGTTATGTTATACAAAAGCTGAACCAAAGCATTGCACCAGCATTTTGGAATACTCTGGCCACTGTAACCCAATTAGGAAATTATTAAAACTGGAAAAAATAAGAGCTTTTGATTCTTAATTTTACCATTTTTATTACTTACAATTATTAATTTTAATTTATGTATTTTTCCTTTAATTGATTTAATCTTCTTGCAACTGTTTACTTGGACTGTACAATTCTATTAAGGATTTTTATTAGCATTACAAAATTATTAATTGCAATGGGTAAAAAAAAATGAATGCATGAATACTAGAATTAAAGACTATAATTGCAAAAAAAAAGATTTCACTTGGCAATAGTTTATTAGTTACTGCAGCTAGAATTTAAGTCAAAATTTAAATAGTAAAGTACAAGACAACAATGACATTATCATGTTTTAATATATTACAACGGTAGTATTGCAAGACATATAAAAACATTGCATATGAAATCATCTTTTTCTATGTGAGATGATTTGTGGAGAGTGTTGTTCATCTTTTCTTATGTTATTTTCTATAAAGTCATTTCTTTACAATCTATATTCTGGCTAATAGTTAAATTACCAAAGCACTCTGAATTGGTTCTATCTCCAGTATCTACTGTCAGATAAAAATGAATCTTTTTAAATGTCTCTAAATATTGTTACATGGCCTGTAGAATCCATAGTGCAATTGCTGCTTTAGTGTTAACATTTTAGCAATTTTATTAATTCTATATTTTTATAGTTTGTCTGAAGTAATAAAGTGAAAAGTTGAATTTATTGCTAGATTTGAGATTATAATGATCACAAGAATAATGTATTAACACAGTGGTTCTCAACCTTTTTAATGCCGCGACCCCCAACTGATTGTAAGTCGAGGACTACTCAACTGGTCGTAAGTCGACGACTACTCAACTGGTGCGGCACCGTTTGCAGAATGGGACTTTTGGCGGGCTTAGCAGGGCAGAGACAGTCTGGACAATTCCTATTGGCTTTTGAAAGCCAATAGGACTAGACTCTATTCAAGAGAGTCTATTCTATTCGCTTTCAAAAGCCAATAGAATAAAAGGGAGTAGCACAGCTAAGGAAAAGGGGGAAAAAATGGCGGACTGTGTTGTTTGGCGACCCCCGTGAAATGGTTGTTCGACCCCAAATGGGGTCCCGACCCACAGGTTGAGAACCACTGTGTTAACAAGATCTTTTGGGGGTGATGCTTTTCTACTTTGTAAGCTTTCATCAAAGATTCAATTAGTTATTTTAAACCAATATTTTCTTCAACGCCCCACATAGACTTCAGACTCTCTCCTTATGAACAATATGCAGCAGGCTTTGGAAACATTTTGCTCTCTAGGTTTTGTAGCTCACAGCACTCTTATTTTTAGCCATTCTGGCTTCTTTGCTCAGAACTGTAATTCAGCAGTATCTGGCAGATCATTGACTTAACTTTCCCTATACTTCAATTTTCTGTGAGGGGTTGAAAGTTCGCCATGTGAGCAATCAATTAGACACAATATTTCATGCTTAAGAAGGATGTATAGTTCTGTGCTATTGAAAAACAGCCAGATTCCCTGAAATGGGTTGTGCTGAGCAAATAAAAACTACCATCACATTAAATTGAAACCAAAGCAGAGAAAATTTAAGTAAACATTGATCTCCTTAGCAAAACCTTTTAAAATAAATGAATAAGCAAAATAATATTTTCTCCATGATGCTTTTACTAGTTCAGTTAGGCTTCACTAGTCACTTTTGACAGATAACCACTTTTGACTAGCTATCCTGGTAAGCCTTGCCATTAACATCTCCTTAAATTATGCAACAGCTAAGGTGTTGTTAAGGTGATTTGAAGATAAGTTATTACAATACTTGATTTAATTTGAAATTTTAAATTGTTTTAATTTAATTTAGAGTGGGAATTTTCTTCCAAATTTTACAAAACATTCTGTATACAAGTCTATTGAAGAGATAGTTCATCTATTAGATAATTTGTATTGGTTTTTAAGCTATTACTTGGGAACTACCCAGGGTCAGATAGAGTTGGACAATGTCCAAATTAAATTAAATACATTGAAATCTCCTTTTCTCCTATGATTACAGAAAAGACTTAAAATTTCTGTTCGTAAAAATCACAGGGTAATGCAATTTCTTGGCCAACAGTATTATTCCATACTGCAAAGATTTTCCATTATTTGTCAATCTCCCACACATAGAAAGCAGCATTTATGATTTCTGCATACTAGAATGGGTTGTTTTCTTATCTTTCATATAAGAATTGTACCTAATTTATCTCATTTGTGGTCTTCCACTTTTTCTTTGTACTCATTGATAGAAATTACGTAGACAAAATTATGCACAGCCTGAATAGTTTGATTAGATTCCAGAGTGTTAGCCTCAAAGCATACAACACAAATCCATAAGAAATTATTAAAATATATGATTATATATTTAACATTTGTCCTGTTACTTATTTTTTCATTTATTTTAGAAAAGATTCATTCCCTTATTATCCCTCTGTTTAGTCTGAAAACTGAAATTTATTAGCAGGATCATCTTATAATTATTTAACAGGTTAGAATGTTCCTCATGCCTTGTTTACAGTAGCTTGAGTGATAGTGTTCCCAAAGTCAACTTAATGTAATAGTGGGGAGTGTGTGGCTCTACAAATGTTGGATTACAATTCCTAATCAAGATAGTTAATGATGAAAGCTGTAGAACACAACATCTGAAGGACCTTGCATTGTGACTTCCCAACAGGGGCTTAAATCTCTTGTATGATTTCTCTTCTTGGGATATTTCTTACTCCCTTTTGTGTTAAGGATCTGCGGTATCCTCATTAGCCGTTTAGTCTCATATTCTGGCTAAAACTGATATTCAATTACAGATCTTTAGCTTCCCTGATTCTACAAGAAAGTTCTTCATTATCATTGAACAGGATTGAAAGTACACATGATGGCTTATCAGCTTAATATTTGGCTTCACTCTGCCTGAAGAGTATAAAAATGAAGCTAAAATTGGGTATTTCAATATTGATCTCCAGAAAGATTGGAATTTCCTTTTTAATGGTGGTGGCTTGCCTGGGAGGCTGCTTGCACCAGTTAATTATTTATTCAGCCTCCTGAGCATGCTGCACAGGTAAGACTATTTGCTGGCCAAATTCATTACCCAGCCTTCCACACTCCCAGAAGGGAGATATTACAATCTTTCAATGCATGACTGTCTTACATTTTGAAGGAAGAAATGTTTTATTGAGATGCTTATTCTATGCAGTCTGGAGCCCAATTTCAATAACTACTTGTCATCCAAATTTTATACATCTGATGAACTGAATACTTGTTCTGTACTTGTTGGCTTTAACAACCTCCAGATGGTTGTTAAATTTTCTTCTATTACCATTGTTGCTTGAAAACTTTTGATATACTCTTGACTGTGTGTATTTGTATGTGTGGTGTGTGGGTAGGTGTGTATTTTGCACATGATGGAATAAGTTTAAAACTTGTCCAGTTTAAAACTTGTCTGAGTATTATTTCTGTTTCCTTTTCTTTATCACCTTGATTTTTCATATGAGATGCATACTTAATACTATAACTGAAGTTGACTTTCCTACATGATCCGTGTGGAAGGAAGGACACACAGAAAGATTAAAAATTGTGAACTCTTCCTTTCCTTTTTATAGTAAAGATGGCAAAGGAACCATTTTTTTTTTCTTCCCTTCTTGTTTTTGGAAGCTAACCCTGAGGTTCTGGAATGAACAAATCCTTCTGCTGTTCTTCATCCTTCCTTCTTCAAGCAACAAGAAATGTTCTTTTGTTGCATATCACCATTAAGCCATTCAGCTAAGGGATAAAAGTACCAACAGAAGCAGGGGAAACATTGGTGCTGAAGTGATGTATGTATTGGTGTAAGAATTTGAAATTTGGTGGAAGAAATAAACCTGGAGAAGACAATATGAGGCAGTGAGGAACATTTGGGCCATCATGGGATGAGGAAGAAAAGAAGAAGTGATCAAGAGCAGCCTACTTACAAAGGAAATTTCCCAAAGCTGCAATGAAGAATAGAAAAGCAATAGATTGACTGAACTGAAGTCTGTCAGCAGAGACAGCCCCAGAAGAAATATATTGAAAAGAAGAAGACATGGCAGATCTTAATAGTAAAAAAAAAATCTATAGGAACACAGGAGGAGTTAACAAACACCAGAGTGGCCAAATTGAACTTGGGAGCATTTTTTAAAAAAGTCACTTGAATAATGAGGATCAACTAAATTTTATTTTTTTACATCTCTGGAAAAACTTTACTCCAAAGGCACGTGAGAAATACAGATTTATAAACAAATAAGTAAATGAAATAACAAATAGTTGGTTTTAAGCTAATGATTTTACTAATTGCTATCTAATATTCTTTTGCTACTGCTTGTACTATATGTATTTGAGCCATATTTGTTTTATTATGTTTTATCGTTTATTGTTGATCCAGTTGTATCTTTCTGGTGACTGAATGATCAGCCAATCCTCTGAAACAGATTTGGGGAGAGATATGAATTGCAATAGTGGTGAATATCTGTAGCTTGGGTGGAGAATGAGGGTGAAAGTTTGTTCTCCGAGCTTGTGGGTTGGTTTCTGAATGTTTTTTAACAGGCTAGGTAACATTTTCAGTGGAGCTTAGGGGATGTCAGTGTCAGTGTTCTGTTTATAAGGGCTTCAGGCGTGGTTGTGTCAAGTGTGATGGGTCAGGTACGAGTCATTAGTGAGAGGCTTGTGATGTGGAGGTTACATCAGGTTAGGGTCACTGGGAGGTGAACTGCTGGTGGGAGGGGGATGGGCCAGATGTGAGGGGAGGGGGGTTTGCGTGGGTTGGTTGAGCATCAGTACTGTCTCTGGTTGGCTATGCAGTTGAGTTGGATTCTGTGTCTATTGATGAAATTGTTTGAATGAACTCACAAGAGTGACTGATTATTTTAATGTTGCTCCAATCAAACAGGTATTGCTTGGTGTTGGTGTGGAGATTAAGCATTTGGGATCATGGCATTTGATATGAATACCTATTGTACTAGTGGGATAGATCCTTCACTTTCATTCAGGAAAAAGGGAAGGTATCTTATATGAATAAAACATTGGACATACCCCGTTATTGACATATAATGTCCTTTTTTTTTATAATTGTACATTGTTTGGGGGACTACTAATAGAAAACTAGCAGATAGAGGGAGAGGGAGAGGGAGAGAGAGAGAGAGAGAGAGAGATTAATTTCCAAACAGTTGAATTACATTGCCCGTAAAATTAAAGGCATCATAAATAAAATAACAGGTAAAAGTTATTAATGGTCAAAACCAATATTTCTTTCCATTAGATGTCTTTGAGTATGTATTAAATTTGTAAGCATAGAGTTACACCTTTATATTTGCATGAATGCTTTCCTCTTTTGCTCTGTCCTGATAACATTCATCTTTGTTTCTTTTTTCCAGTGGGATGGAGTTGGCCCTCTCCCTGACTGTGCAGAACCACCAAAAGGAATCCAGATGCTATGGCACCCATCCATAGTCAAACCCTACCTCACACTTCTCTCTGAGTGCTCAAATCCAGATACACTGGAAGGTGCAGCTGGTGCGCTACAAAATTTGGCTGCAGGTAGCTGGAAGGTATGAAATCTGCCAGACTCTTAAATCAGCAAAGATGTCATAAGTTGAATAATTAAAAACTAATTGGAACACCAGTTGAAACAATTGCTTTCCCTACTGTAATATCAATAAGGAATTCTTGCTATTCATAAGACTGCAAGCATATTAGATCTAAATTCTATTTATATTGTTAATGATTCATATTAAAAAATACAGGAGCCAAGCCTCCTTTAACTCTGTTTGTTTGCTTGAGCACAATAAAACCATTTCATTGTGAAGAAACCCAATTATATTTAGCACCAATTAACATCCCTGCTGACAGCTTTAGGAAATTATCAAGGAAAAATGAGAAAACTGAGTTAGGTTCCTTATCTGAGGTTGAGAAACAACCTTAAGTTGCTCTGTTGACTAAATGTGAAATAGGATTGATTCTTCAGGAAATCCTTCCTTAAAATTTAATTAGTTCCACTTCAAGATGTATGGGCTCAGGTAGTAGAACTGTGATGTGATTTCATATATATGTGTTTCCATATATATGCCAGCATGTTTTATTTATGCTATGCTGTTAGTTCAATATACTAATCTATATGGACCAGGCAATAGAAGACATGGTTTATCCTGCTACAGCTTGCTAAAAATAGCCTATATATCAATAAGATGCATGGCTTGTCATGTCCAAGGTAAGCATGTCTGACCAAACAATTTTTCTTTAAAATGGGAGCTTGATAAGCAAAATTGGTACAACTGAGCAGTGAATGAAATAATCTGCTTTCCCAGAAAATTCATATAGAATAAGCAGTGTTACCCTAAGCTTTTCCATTCTGTCTTGTCAATTTGCCTAAAATGTGTGATCCTGGAGGATACTGTATCCTGAAGGGAGAAAAATGCCTAATTATATATAGACTTATATATAATTAGCTAAAGCAATGAAATTTTAATCTGCTACTTGCCAATAAAAGGGCCTTTTTATGATGTAGAAAATATTTATTTACAGCAGTCCAATTACAAATAAAGCTTTCTTCATGTTAGCCAGAACATTTCTTTTAGATTAAATACTTGCCAGGGACAGCCAGCAAAAGTTTATGATATACAGCATCATTAGCAAAGATTGCAAGCTGTTTCACTTATGAATGTGCATCTGAAAATATTTAGGTTCAGTGATGGAAGGAAATGGATAATTGCATGTGTTCATTTCCCTACACGCTTATATGATATTTGTGTAAAATACCTTATCCTCTAGTTAGTTAAGCTGGTTAAATTCCTCACAAGTAAATGGTCTGAGAGGATCAGATACTCTAACAATATGTTAATTGGAGGGTACAGACAGCCCCATGGGTACTCCCATGTTGTGGATAAGAAACCCCCTCCAGTTTCCCTCATGTCAGCTGTGTTGACTAAGATTGCTAAGTGTTGTAGTTCAATCTTTGGAAGAGTGAAAGGGGTCACTACCCCTACCCTTGTCACCCTGTCATTCTTGGTATATAATGGTGATAGGTTATGGTGATAGGATACTTTCCTTGTGCCACTTCCCATTTTGCTGGAATAAGCAAATGCCTGGACCAGGCTTCTTCTCCTTCACACCAATTATGTGAGAGATGGAACTTTCATAGCTTGAGCACTTACTTGCCTGCAACCTGTGTGTATAATACTTATAAAAAGGAAAATAATACCTCAGCTCCTGGCTGTAGTAGTATGAGGCCTGTGGCCAGAGAACAGCAGCCATCTTTTGAGGAGATCCAAATAAAGCTTTTATGATTGAAACATTAATTTTAAGTTAAATATTAAAGATAAATATGTTCTTTTATCTTGAAGTAACAATTGGGCAGCATAAGGCATTAGACTGCTCTTGGAGAGACTGGGTATAAACCAAATGGGTTGGATCTGAGGTTCTCAGATAGAATAAAACATATAAGAATAGAGTCACAGAAGGGCAATAAACCTCTGGTTCAAAAATCGCTGGAAACCATTAGTGGACACATTCAATGTATCAAAATTCATGAAGCAGACTAAATAGCTTAATGCAAGGAATCAGTACAAGTCCTCACCTACAATATTTAACTGCCTCAGAGAGGAATTTTTTCCCTGAGCTTCTCCTAGCTTGTCCTGATCTCTACCAGTGTTTCCATATGGAAATTTCTTTTCAACATTTCTCAGGAAAATGGTTATGTTGTTCCAAATCCCAAGAAAAATCAGGCAAGAAAACATTAATCGAGATAGTCAGAAGATGCTCTCTACTATTCTGCTTGTAATGTTTGTAAAATGTCACAGGTAAGATGTTTCATGTAATTCTCAACTCTCCAAGGAGCACTTCATACTTGGGACAGCCAATTCCCAACCTGACTCAGAAGGTCCTGTTGTCAGATGCAACATGCCAGAGGACAACGGGTGCTAATTGAACAGATTCTCAGCTCGCCTCTTGATTTTCCTTTTCCTCTTCCTGGGAAGTGTGACCATGGAGGTAATACAAAGGGCCTCCAGATCAACCTTATCAATGAGCAAACATTTAATAATGCACATTGGATGAGTATGAGAGTCTGCAGCTTCTTCAGTTTCCAATTTATAAAAAATACAGAATGGAATTCAGATTTCTCACTCTAAATCCCAAAGCTTAATACCTGTCAGGAATTTGAAAATTATTCCCCTAGATGTCAGCTTTCAATCCAAATTTTAGGAGCTTTTCATTTTAGCTGTTGATTCCCTAGAAATTTCTGGGTTGCAGTTCAGTGCTTATCTCACCTAATGCCCAGAAATACTACTTTTACCATGGGCACTCAGTACTCTAGCTACTAAATACCTTGCCTCATCCATGTTCAAGCAGGCCTTATTTTCTCTCCCTGAAGATTTTCTTGGCCTGATTCAATGGTTTTCCTCAATTCCAGTCACAGAAATTAGCTTCACTCTTAGAACACTTCTCTCTTGTACAAGAGTTGCTTAGCTTTCTGCTTTTTCTGGAAACTAGATCACCAAAACCATGTGGGTACTTCTAGTCCCTATTTTGTCCTCTTCATCCAGAAATCTTTTCTCCTCCAGATTTTTTTTTTACTCTCGGCTCCTCTCCTAGGTAATCTGCTTTTTTCACATATGCCAAATTTCTTTTTTTTTTCCTTCAGTCTCAATACAAAGAATTTTTGCCAGCAACAATAAAGTTGAGGAAGGCTAATCTGGGCAAATTTTTTCCTCCCCTATTTTGAGGCTTGGTTTACTCTTAATATGAGACCTCCCACCTGTCTGCTCAGACAGGTGGGATATGTGCATTGGCTGTTTGGTTGCAAGTTTGTTTGCCTGTCTACATACCATCCAGGCTACTCAAATCTGGGCAAAGCTGAAGGAGGGAAATTTCTTCCCAGAATGGTGGTGGCAATCAATGCAGACTTATGATCTCCTCCACTCAGAATTACTTCTATCTGAAACTCTGTTATTTAAACAAAAGCACCAAACTTATACCTTTTATTTTCTATGTTGGCCTCTTAAATTGATTTAGTTTAATCTAATGGAAGAATAAAGTCAGGGAAGTTATTTTTCATAATAACAATGAGAAGCCAAACCATAGTAGTAGATTACAGAAATTTCCTCCTTTAATTGGCATAGCAAATAAATGCTATGGCAAAGAAAATTTTGTTTACTGTAAAACCTCACTTTGAATTAGAATGGGCTGTTCTCAGAGGAATTTTTTCTCCTTTCATGCTGAGCAATTATTTGAATGCTAATGTCAGTCTGATTTATGGACTAACTGTATGATTACATATATTCCAATTTCAAAATACACTGCGATCCCTCAAAAAATTATTTGTCTTTGTCATTTTTAAAAAAATTATCTAGTAGGCTTATTGGGGCTTATTGACTTATGGAGCATATTTGCAGGACTGTTGCTTAATAACAAAAGTGAACATATTCAAGAATGAATTTATTTCTCAATTCTGGAAGAAGAATGAAGTAGCCGCATCTCATACTGAATTCTTTTGCCAGAAAGACAGCAGAGGATAATTGCTTGCAAACATATCTTTACTGACAGTACCCCAAGAATTCTGGCATCATTAATAAAATATGAGAAGGTTCATAACTTGAAAGCATAGGTAAGATTATAGTTTGATTCATAGTGACAATTATGGGATCTTCTATATGGAGTTTTCACAAACATTATAAATAGGATTATTATTTGATACTCTTTGACTAGATCCAAATAATAACTTGTATATGCCTAAGATAGTTTCGGCTCCTGTCTTACATCCCACCTTAATTGTGCAGCAGCCTTCTCTTTCAAAAGTGATTTATTATATAGAACATTAGAATGAGCATAAACGGAAGAAGAGGCGTATAGGAGCAGCATTAGAATTAGCTGTCTAAGTTTGGGGAGCTTGGACTGTATGCTGTATTGTTGCAGAGTTTGTGTGTTTGTTGTGGGTGTTTATGTACAGACACAGATACATTAAAATGTTCACCTAACATCATCTGACTGCCTTTCAGAATGTGCTCATGATAAAGCAGTGGATTGGAGTATCTGAGAAAGGTTTTGAGTAGATGGAGTTCAAGAAAGCAATATATATATTTGTTTCTGATCCATCCAAACATCAATGTTATCTGGAGAAAATGGCATAGTTCACACATACTTTTTGCAATTACCTACTTTCCGATACAATATTTCCCACCTTATATCCTTATGCAAACCTGTGGAGTCAAGTGGCTAAACACATATCTGGTTCAGTTCCAAGCTATACTATCAGACAAAGCTACTCAGTCTTCTGCAATATGAGGATACCTACAACTGTATCTGTCAGTAATTCAAAATGAGATTGGCAGTTATTAGCATCTATAAAATGATGACTTTTATTACTATTTTCCATCTCTAAATAACTTTTGCTATAGCCTCCTTATTCAGTCGATAAAACTTATTTGCTTTGTCGTATTCATACTTTTTTTCCTGCAGTGGTCGGTATATATACGTGCTGCAGTACGGAAAGAAAAAGGCCTGCCTATACTAGTAGAACTTCTTCGAATAGACAATGATCGGGTGGTATGTGCGGTTGCAACAGCTTTACGGAATATGGCCTTAGATGTCCGAAATAAAGAACTAATAGGTAGGTGCTAGCATGATAATTATTGGCTTCACACCAACTTTGCAACAATGTTATACAAATATGCCATTCCTGCTTACGGTTAGGTGAGAAATTAAACATATTTAGCACTGTAAAGTGTTAAGATATTTCCAGAATGGGATTCTCTATTCTTGGTTAATCTTGAAAAGGTCTATATGTATGTTGTGTTTTTATCTTTTGGGAGAGGCAGAATCCTTTCTGACACTACTCATTGTGTGCAAAACTACATGTGTTTTTGAGTTTTGTTCAAGTGCTGTAGGTGAAAGCTGAAAAGGATAGAAAAGATACAAACACATGAAAAGTTTAAATAGAAGTGGAAGGATCCCACCAGCAGGAATATTCTTGCAACCTCTTATAATGAAGAGTTTTCCCTCTTCTGATAATAGGAATGTCCAAGGAATGTCATTCTGCTCAGCTGGAAGCAAACTCAGTGTGCTAGTGTATTGTAATTTTGTATTCCTCTGGTTAATACCAACTTTTTCATTTTATCCAGAAGAATTGCAAATCCAGGATGGTGGCGAGAGATCATGAGTACTAGTCTTGTCCTGGACACAGTGTCAGCTGGGTGGCTTTGGGACAGTATCTCAGCCCTAGGAAGAAGTGACATATTATTCCTGAAAATCCTGCCTAGAAAACTGCAGGGATTGTCCACCCAGTCACCAGGAATCAAGGCTGACTTACTTGCTTTTAAAGCTACTGTATAGAAAGCCATTGATGTGCACATTTCTGCCTAAGACATTTTTCAATTCATGTAAAAATACATCTGATCAATAGTAATTTTTTAAATTTATATTGCCACCTAATTGCTCATTGATGACTCAAAGCAGTTTATAGGAGATAAAAGCACAATATAAAAGAGATAAAAATAATAAAAAATAAAACACACATTCATACCAATCATTTAATGGGCTCCATCCCGCTCTGGGTTCTCCAGACCCGCTGAGAGAACCATATCTTCAAGGACTTGTGGGAATCAGACTAATTCTCAGAGGGATGATGTTCCAAAGGGAGGGAGCCACCACGAGACGGCCCTTCTTCTGGATCCCACCAGATGTATCTCCTTAGGGGACGGGACCCACAATATTCCTTACCTCCCTCCTCTAGTGGGTCAGGTGGATGTAAACCGCAAGAGATAACCTGGTCCCACGCCATGAAGGGCTTTAAAGGGGACAACCAGCACCTTGAATTGCATCCGGAAGCAAATTGGTATCCAATGCAGCTCCCGCTGAAAAAGGCACTGAAAAAAGTGAATTTATGACCATTTTTCACACTTAACAATCATTGCAGCATCTCCATGGTCATGTGATTAAAATTCAGACACCGATTCATATTTATAACAGTTGCAGTGTCCCTGGGTTGTGTTATCACCTTTTTGCAACCTGTTGATAACAAAGTTAATGTGGAAGCCAGATGCACTTAACAACTGTGTTACTAACTTAACAAATGCAGTGATTCACCTAAACCAGCGGTTCTCAACCTTTTTATACGGCGACACACGGATGCGCCGGCATGCGCGGCACCGCCCCCATGCGCGGCGCCACCCCCTGAGGGGGAAAAATGGCGGGTCGTGTTGTTTGGCGACCCCCGTAAAATGGTCGTTCGACCCCAAATGGGGTCGCGACCCATAGGTTGAGAACCGCTGACCTAAACTGTGGTGAGAAAGGTCGCAAAATGAGGCAAAATTCACTTAACAACCATCTTGCTTAGCAACAGAAATTTTGGGTTCAATTGCAGTCATAAGTCGAGGACTACCTGTACTCTTCTTCTTTAAAAAAACATTCCTATTATATCACATCTTGAATTAATGTCCATCTGCCTAATCATCCTGTTCCAAAGTTTTCGATTTATCATCTTCAGTCACTATTTACAACAATTTTAGAAAAGAAAATAATTAAAGAATGACTAAGGGAGCTCACAGAAGGCTTTTTATTTCTGAGGAGGTTATTTAGGCAATTGTTAAGATGCTGTTTGCACTGTCTGCAAGTTAAAGATGGGAACTTTGAAATACACTTATAAACCATATTTTATTAGGGTTCTGGAACATCAAGTATCTTAACAATAAAGACTCCCTCAAGCAAAGGCCCTGTGCAGATCAACCACTGTGAATTCATCTCCAGTCTAATATTTTCTAGCTGATGTGTTCATATATTGTAGACATCCTCCTTACGCAGAGAGATTTAAGCTTTCTCCCAGATTTTTAGGAGGAAAAAAATCTTCACAATTATGCAGCTGGAAACCACTTTATGCCCCCAAATCTAAGAGATATGATCTGGAGGCCCTGTTAAAATGGGGCTTGGACCAAGCAACATAGCAACTGAAGCTTTGTTTAAAAAAAAATGTGAAATCATGGCCCAGATTGCTGTTTCTGTGGCAGGGTGCAGAGGATCAAAAGCATTCCTTCCGTGTTTGACTTCAGATGCTACAGCCACTGTAATTATTGGGAAACACTTTACCTTTTTTAAACGAAAAATATGACTACAAAATTTGTAAATCTGCTATCTAGTGCAGTTTTAGAAAGTTGTACTTATTTGAGTTAGTCAGAACCAACTTAAATTATTTTAGGAATATGTAGAAAATAATTGTCTTCTAAATACTCCTAGCAGTAGACAGTCTTCATCAAAGGTTTATAACTTGAAAGTCAAGGCTTGTATTATGTCAGGAGCTGCTTTTTTTTTCTATAATCAATTCATACTATTTTTTTTTATACAAACTACATAAATTTGATGACGGTAGGAATATTTTTACTAAAAGGGAACATTATGCTAATACAAAGTTACATGATATATGGTTATATACATGGTAATATTAATATTGTAATAAAGACTATTTATATGATATTCCATGGTACATTCTAAATCAGTATGTTAATTTATTCTCTGTCAAGTTTCTCATAAAATGGCTCAGTGCAAAGAATTTTCTCAATGATAAAATATGTAATGCCTCACTGTTAAAGTTTAAACTACGATCAATATATCCCAAAGGTGCTTTTTCAAAAGGCAACTGGTCTGTCTTTGTTTTTCCTTGAAGACGTTTCGCTTCTCATCCAAGAAGCATCTTCAGGTCGAACTTGAACTGAACTGAAGAAGCAAAATGTCTTCAAGGAAAAACAAAGTCCAGTTGTCTTTTGAAAAAGCACCTTTGGGACAACCATGACTGGATGAATGAGAATCTCCATAGACATTTAGGATGAATATAGTCTTCATCTATGTCAGATAATGACTTACCTTGTTTCCCTCCAGAAAAGATACAATCCAAAATTAAGTTGGAAACTTTATGGACATAATATACAGAAATCCAGATTCCAAAAGTGTATTCAGTTTTCTTAGCTGCATTAATTTAATTGGGCAATGTGAAAACAAAGAAAAAATATTCTAGCTCAAGTGTGCGTTGTGCTGGTTTCTACCATTAATAGGGAACTTGATTTACTAGTTTTGTCCTAAAAAGTTACATGGCAGTGTAGATTTCAGGGTGATATTCCAATAATCTCAACTAAAAACGGGTATTTTCTGTTACCTGTTTCCATTTTCTAATCACAAGCATTTTTAACCCCCAGCAGGTCTCACAAATATTATTTTTCCCTTGATCTCTGGTTAGTTGTACTCTATAATTTGTAGAGATCAACATCAGACCTACTTCAGAAATTAAGAAGTAGACATATTCAAGTAAATTATCCTGTGAAAACATTATCTGCAAACCCAACACTTTCAAACATATTTGATATTATAAGCAAAGTTATATTATTTCCCAGCTAATTGATTATTACTTTATCTATCTAGCTTTATTTAGAATTTTGTTAAGCGCATATGTTGGTTATCTCAAATTATGTGTAAAGGTAAATTAAGAGGCAATTCAGTATAGTAGTTATGGCACCAGTCTAGAAACCGGGGACTGTGAGTTCTAATCCTGCCTTATGCATGAAACCAGCTAAGTGGATTTAGTTCAGTCAGCCTCTATCAGTCTTAGGAAGAAAGCAATGGCAAATCACTTCTGAAAAACCTCGCCAATTGCAGGGACTATTCTAGGCAGTCATCAGGAGTCAACAGTGACTTGAAGACCAAAAGTAAAATAAATATAACAGTTGCTGTAGTTTGTATAAAGAACATAGAAGTAAAATTTGTTTTTTTAAGCTTCTATTTTAATTTGAATTCACAATAGAGGAGATGATGTCATTTGTATGACTGCATTTTTTTTCTTGTCTTTGCACATGAATGAAAATAATGTACTAGAAAAAGGAAAAATATGTGACATCACTTGTTCATGGCATAAATTTGTACAAAGGGGGAGGAATGTAAAGTACAATAAAAACTACAGCTTTCTATTTAAAAAAATCTCCATTCCCATAAAACTCAAATTAGTCAAATAACTTTCAGTATGACTTGAAAAGCTAGATTTTCTTCCATTCATACACCTCAATTTTTCTTTTTTCTTTTTTATTAAAAAGTTTTTATTTTCCATTTATTCATACAAAATACAATTAAATTCCTAACCATTGGTACCGCCTGCCCATTCCCCCCAGGCTGCGTCCACCCTCTCTAATCCTTCCCCATGTCCCTCCTCTTTCTCTCCTCCCCTCCTACTCTCTTCCCCTCCCCTTCTCCTGTAACCATCCTCCCTACTCCTTCCTCCCCTCTCATCCCTCTCACACACATGAACGCAGCATAGGGGAAATGCCCAAGCGTTTACCATGACTATATTATCATTACCCACCCATTCACCCACCCACCCACTCACCCACCCACCCACCCTCAACCTTCCCCCCCTCGCTTCCCAGAGCAGAGTACAGGGTTATTATTAAGAAAGTTAACAATAATAAAAAAAGAAAGAAAGAAAAAAGAAAGAAAAAAAGAGAAGAAAAAACATCATACTTAACCTTTAACTCCCCTTAAATTAAGTCATATAAACAAATATCTACAACAGTTACTATAAAATTTACTCATAAAATAAATGAAACTTTATAGTTCCATATTTTTTCTGAATATAAT